AGCTGTCCTACATCCAGCATGAAAGCTGCATAAAAAGCCAGTAATGATGCACATGTGGAGAAATAATTATCTAATTTCACATGGATGTGTCACGTAGCAAAGCAATCGGAAAGAGAAAATTTGCCAATTCATTTACCAAGGCTAATCATTAGAGGCTGCATATCTGTGTTACAAAAACTTATGAGTCAAGTTCTGCTGCCTGAAAGGACGTTAGGGAGTGACAATAAACTCTCCCCACCATTTGATACAGAGCCTGTGCCAGTTATTATGTGGAATCTACAATGTGTGGGCCGGCAGCACAAACCACTCTGTGGCCATTCCCCTGCTACGCAACTCAGACTATGAGGTGACTACATTATCCTGTAAGCTACTAAGCTTCTAAACTGTGTGTTTCTAAATGACGCATGGAAAGTACGAGCCAGTATGTGAAATGGATAAATTTGAAACTTTATATGATGCTTTTCTCCCAAGGAAAAACGGATGCATTAGTCAGAAGTGTGAAGAGGAAGTAGTGTGACATTGCAGCCACAAAATCCCCGGATGAAAGTGATTCGGGTGGTTGGATGGGTCAGTCAAATATTGGACTTTTACACAAGAGACTTTTTTGCTTCCTGTTTCTTACAGACAATAACAGCTGGTTTCTTTAACCGTGACCACGATCGTTCCCTGACCATAACCCGGTGGCTATTATTGTAACCTTAACGTAATATTTTAATCAAAACCACATTCTTTCCCTAACCCTAACCAAGTTGTTCAACCTAACTAAACATATGGTTAACAAAGCAGTGTTGGATCACAAAATACAGAAATCAGTTATTATCTTGTGCAACAAAATAAATCAAATATATCTTGTTTTTCATGACTTCCAGGACTCTACTGTTAGTATTGTTGTTGCTGGACAATTTCCAACTTTATAATCCTTGTATGGTAGCCCCTGCCATCAGTGTATGAATGGGTGTGAATGGGGTGAATGACATGCCGTGTAAAAGTGCTTTAGACTAGAAAGACGCTGTACAAATTCAAGTCCATTTATCATTGACGTGCATCCCAACATTTGCAGCTTTGCACAGCTCCAACCTCAGCAGGTCCAAACAGCCACATGACTGAAAACACCTGTGTGGGTGTGCAGGGCCTTTAAACTATGATAATGTATCATATTCTATAAGTTTATCAAATCATATTCACATTTAAAGTCAAAATAACTGCAGCTGTTAAATAAATGTAGTGAAGTAAAAGATACGCTACTTCACAATATAAATCTGCATGAATTAGAAATGCTGCAGTAAGTACAAGTACTTTAGAATTACACTAAACGTGCTTGGGTAAATGCACAGTTTCTTGGCACCTCTGATTGTAGAAAATGTGTGTTTATGTGTTTACAAGAAGCCAATGTACAATATATTCGGGCACTGTGAGTATTGAATCCACAATTAACACCAATATACATATTGTAGGTAGACAGCAGCAGCATAAGGGCAGAGATTAGCAGCCAGCTGATGCCAAGATATCGCCTACAAGCAGATCTGCAGCAGACCAATAAAGCAGCTTGGCAATACTGCACATTGCCAAGCGCACAAACAGCGACTGAACAAAGCCCGAGCATCAGCTCACGATATTCCTCTGGCTTGAAGTGGTGTTGGAGGCTGACAGCTGATGTGAGGAACAAAAAGAGACGGTGAATAGCGGCAGCGGGGAGTGCGTAGTAAACACGATTATTCCCCCACAAAGTCGTCCTGAAGCAGCACTACTGTTGGAAGGCTGTTGGTAGAGTAGTAGTAGACGGCTTTATCGCAAAGGCTGTGTTGGATATATAACAGCAAGAACAGTATGTCATACTGTATGCATGTATATACCACTCAGTCAACACATCTCCACTCGTCAAACACTAACGCTTAGCTTCAAACCATGATGCTCTACGGATGTAGCAGGGATAAACTTCCGTCTACACAGGAAGTTAGGTTTAGGCAATCAAACCACTTAGTTAGAGTTAACTAGGGGGGGGGGGTGATCCATGGGGGTGATCCATGGGGGTGATCCATGGGGTGATCCATGTGTAGGAGTTGTTCTGTCCACTGACAGCTCATGTGGATGAGCAGGTACCCAGCAGCAGGTGGAGGGATGAGAGGTGGAGGGATGGTGAGAACACCGGAAGGGATGTGAGTAAACGGCCATGGGACTGTGTCATGCGGGGTGAGTGTGGCTCCCTTCAGAGGCTCTGAGTGTTCAGCATTCACATCACAACTAAATAGGTGGAACTCCAAAGTAGTGAAATGCCACAATGGTGAGTAAGAAGGTGTACAAAGGATCTGACTAGTGAAACAAGCTTGTTTGGAAGATGTCAGAGAACTACTGAGGCCAGAATGGTTTCATCACCAAAGTAGGTATGTGAATTAATTTCTATGTCATTGTAAATGCTCTCATATACACATTCACATATTATATTCACCAGTTGTATTTTCACCTAATCATTTGCCAGGCTCTTCTAAAGGGCCAGTGCAGATTGCAACCAACTAAATACCCGTTCTGAATGGCCGTATGTAGGGCCAGTGTTCGGTTTGTCCGTTCTGGGCAGGTGATTGAACATGGCAGACTGGAGAGGACTGGATCTCTAGATATGAAGAGCTTATTGTACGGTAACAAAAACACAATGATTCTTAGTTGCAGGTGATTATAGTCAATCCCATTTCTGCTAATAGAAACCCTAAATGCTTCACATTGGCCCTAATTAATTAGTTAATTTGAGCAGTTCCACACAACAGTTGTCTAATGAAAACTCCTTTTATGAAACACATTTTAAAAAATGTTGCTGATAAAAAATGTTGATAGAATTCTGGTAATGTTATTCTGTAGTTAGTGGTTTTTTTGTGTTGAATTGCATCATATTGAGAGGAGGAGAGGAGATGTATCCTTAAAACACACCGATGAGCAGTGTGTCTATTTCTCTGTAAATCAGGGCCTTTGTTTGTACGGACATAAATTCTTATTGCCTTAAGTAAAGTGCAAATTGTAACTCTGAAATGTATTCATTTATATGGGAAACTTAGGATAAGAGTTCAATCCCTGCTGACATCTTAACCCTCGCTGATGGCGCTTAAAAAAGTAAAGTTACTTCACCCCATGCGCTCACCAGTTGCAACATGAAAGGGAAATAACTTTATCCCATCAACTTTGAAGTGAAAGTTGTCATCTCTGCTCAGTCTTCAGTACTAACACTTCACTTCTGCCTGCACCGCGCTCACCGAGGCGGGGGTGCTAAGGGGGATCTGGAAGGATATAAGGTTTCCATGGTGAATGTGTGTCCCTTTTCCCGGGGGGACCTGTCATATTAGAAACTGCCTTCCTTAGCAGTGACTTCACCGGCCGTTCCCTGCCAGTCCCGGCTCCGTGCGCCCATTGTACGCTGACTGTGCATTAATGCCGGCTGACATTTAGCTCTTAGGCCCTGTGAGCAGATAGGAGATGATGGCTGTGATGGGCAGCGCAGTAATACTGCACACCACGTTAAGAGAGCATCCCGCATGAGCTATCGCTGCCCCACCGCTTCATATTTTAGGGGAATTATCTTGTAGATTGATGAGGCAGTTTTGGGAAACAAGATGTCTTCTTAGCAGGTACCTGACAGACACCTGCTCCCTTGTCTTAGTTTGACAAAACATGAAGGGAGCGTCACACAAAACCCACTGTGATTCTCTCCCGTGTCTATCATTGTCAAAGAGGATAATGGTGTCATCTTGCCACCGACGAGCATTTGCCTGCAGATATCTAAATATATAGAACCGATAACATCAAATCATGTTACGCACCAGGCATGGAAATGCTATGTACTTGGCAACCGAAATAATTCTATCTTCTTTCCAAATATTGTTCGCTGTCTTTGGGTTATTTTGAGTAGGGATCCCACCCTGAAAAGGCTTTGAGATCATAGTTTTCTTCGAAGCTTTGACGTGTTTATCGAGGTGAGATTTGTGTCAGGAGGGATTGGATTTAAATATTAGAAAATGTTTGTCACACAGTGAAGTTCCTACGTGCCGTGCCTCCCTCTTTGGATGGATACATTTGTCACACTTGGACTGCGACCGACAATTTGAGAAACTGAAACAGACAACAACGTGAATTTTACATGCAATTTATTTCACTTGCTGTTCCTGTGAAACTGTTATCTAATGGTTATAGGATAAACTCCCACCAGCCAGATTAAAGCAAACACCAAGGATTATTTTTAGTTCTATTTGGCCCAGGTCACAAGTATTTTACTCACCACAAACACACACCACAATTAAGCATGAACAACATTTCCAGTAAACCGTTGCTGGCTTTATAATCAGCAATGAACAAATAATAATAATTACTGCAGCGACTTATAAGTCATTATTTTATGCTTTATATTCTTTATCTGAATTTTAACTAGAGACAACCTGTTTGCAGGCTGTGTAGAGAATGAAAGTCCTTTTCTTATGCACAAAAATAAGAGAAGGCAATGGGGAGCTGGTTTTTAATTCAAGTCAAGTCATCAGACTCCTTATTTGAACTGTGGATTTCAATTGGATTTACTAATCCTTAAAGTTTGACCTTAGACCAAGTGTTCCCTGTTGGAAGAAAAAAAATGTTTTTACTCAAACAAATGCCGACTCTGAAGGGCATAGAGAGTGCAACAATCCCCCGATGCAGGATCCAGACAGATGTGAAGTTATCAATCAATACTCCCAGTATCATACTATTGTGTATTGTTATCCCGGTTCTCTGGTGCTACAATCATATCATAAAAGCTACACAGAGCCTGTACAGTCCTTAAGAGATACACAAACAGGCAACCCACTGAAAACCTGAACTCTCAATGTGTTTTTGTTTGACATCTTAAAGTATCAGCGCATTTAAACAGGTCACAAAGAGCCAATGAGACCGACCCGTGGAATGGCTTGGGATTCAGGGATGACGCAGCTACTGTATCCTGGAGCTGAATAACCGGAGCGCACAGATGATGAGCGGAAGCGCCAGTGCGCACCTCCCTTTAATAATCTCGTTGAGCAGCGTCGCTGTCTTTTCAGCACCACTCACTGACAATCCAACCGACCGGAGAGGCAACACAGGCGAAACTGATTTCCCTGCAACCCTCTGTGGATTTTTTTTAAATCAAGATTACAAATCAGTACAACTTTTTTTCTCTGTAAAAGGAGCTACCAAATCCTGGTTCCGAGTTTCCATCTGCTGAAAGTAAGAATTGAGATTTGGTTTTTTTTTTCAGGAGCGACCATGTGGTTTGTGGATGTATGATTTTATGATTTTTCACTGCGGATTTTGATTTGTTTGTTTCCATGGTTTCACTATAAACTAAGTTCGGTCATTTTTTTATCACTCTTTGGAAGTCTAGAAAAATGCCCGCAACCACTTGAATTAACGTGTTGTAGTTGTAATGAGTTTATTATTTTACGGGAGACTTCAAACCCTCAGTCAGTAATTACGGAGCCCTTGTTTTCCTTTAATAAGTGGAATTTGCGTATCCAGTCGGGATGCTGGTTCTAGTAGTTGGACTTTTGTACCTGGTCAGTGGAGGCACGGTGCGAAGCCAGGATGCTACAGGTAGCCGCTTCGTTTGTAACGCCATTCCCCCGGGCGCAGAGCCGGGCTGCGGGTACGATCCCACGGGGAACCGTGTCCAGAGCAGCAGCCCCGTGGAGGACGAGCTGCGGAACACGATCATCCAGCTCCGGGAGACCATCCTGCAGCAGAAGGAGACCATCGTGAGCCAGCAGGGGACCATCAAGGAGCTCAACTCCAAGCTGGTGCGCTGCGAGGCGGCAGCCGACGAGTCGCCGCAGGGCAGGTCCCGAGGTCAGGGCTCCAGACGGAAGGAATACGGCAAGAACACCATGGGGGACCTGCCCCGGGACCCCGGCGATACCATAGACCAGCTGGGCAAGACCATGCAGAGTCTCAAGGGTCGGCTGGAGAACTTGGAGGTAAGATGGCACAAAAATGCTGCTCCTGCATAAACGAGCCAGAAAAGAACTTGGGTTCCCCCCGAAACCTATTAATTACTTCTATTAATAGCCACCAACAAAGCCAACTGCAGTATACATATTTTCATGCATATTTTTTTGCAATATCTTTTAGCCCTTTCACAAGTAATATTCCTGACGCACACACGTCTGATAATAGGCCTACTCTGTGCTGCAGGAGTCCTCTCAGGGGGATCGTGAGATCAGAGGGTCACGTAATAGGCATGTCACATCAATGCGTTTTTATCATTAAAAGATAACTCTGATGGCGAAACCCGCAGGATATAGTCGTCAATAAGGAATAAAAAAAAACGTTTCAAAGGTAATCACGCATGTGTTCCAGTGATTTGTGAACGCAACCTTGAATAATGTATGACTGCTGTGTGCGTGTGTGTGCGCGCGTGTGTGTGTGTGTGTGTGTGTGTGTGTGTGTGCGTGTTCCACATAATGTTTTATTTGCAGTCATGTGCCTAATTAATCATAGCAGCTGATGGAATTAATTCCCGCAGATTTCACCTGCATCAAATGCTCAATGGTTTAGTCGTTCATAAATTCCCGTTGCCCTGCAGAGCTTTATCTCAACCAGCCTCAGGAGACCTGCTGTGTGCATTCATTCCACAAGGCTCAGAGATCACAACTGATATTGAGGTCACCTATAGTGAAGTGCTTTACATACAGCAGAAGGCCAGTGTAAGCCCTGGCTTTATCTCTTATGTCATGTTAACAGTGAAGTGCATTTTTCATCATCTGACAGCCCTGATAACATAAACAATCACAACTCTAATTATTTAAATTCAAGGTTGTTTCTGTGTACAGTATGCTGCATTGCTGATCCATCCATCTCTCTAGTCCCTTCCCCGTCACCCTCTCTCCCTGATTGGACACTTTAATACCCCAATCAAATCAAGGATATACTGCAGCTGTGAGGATACATATTATATTGCATTTCAATCACATATCTATTGATCTGCATCTTCTTAACATAATGATTGTAAGACTGGCTGATAGTGTATGGGTCCCTTGAGCAGGACCTCTCCAACTAATCAAACACCATTTCTCAACAATTGCATTCAGGACCTTGCGTTTGCACCAGATTGCAAGGGAATCACTCATTTGAGCTATTCAGATGGCTCCATTGTGTCATGAAAGATTAATCAAACTCTGTGAATGGGTCACAAAGTGTGTAAATCCCAGACCGCAGGACAACATCAACACACGCTTTAGAAATGAACATCTGAGGGCATTTTGCTGCACAGTGAAAGCACCACCTAAGTGTGGAACTGTGCCGTTTTTGTCTGCCCCCTTTTTTCAAAAAACATCTGTGATCACGCCTGGTGTGACGTCACTCGTGGAGCCAACCTAATACCCTGTCCAGTCATGGGTGTTTGGCAGGTCACCAATCAAAGTCTGCCGCAGGAACAAACTGTCTTCATTTTGATATTGCTGTATCAAAAACAATGGTGCTAAAAGGATATCAGGCCTAAAGGGTCAATGCAATCAGTCCTCTACTGGAAATCTAGGTCTTTATGCAGACTGAATGCTTGTTTGAGTGCACAAGATTAACTGGATTAAATGTCTGTCATTGTTCGTATGTGTCATTCCCTTCTGGCCCCATTCCATCCATCCATCCATCCATCCATCAATCCATCCATCCATCCATCCATTCATCCATCATTCATTCATTCATCCATTCATCC